CATATTTCTAACCGTAATATTTAGCACGGTGTTAAATTAAAGCGTTGAACACCTGATCAGTTTGTAGTCTGATTACTGCCACCTGTTATGGACCCTTGGATACTTTTAAAGCCGAAGTTGTTTAAGTGTTGTTTCGTAACATTATCTTTCAGCCTAAATCATGCCCTCACCACGTGATGTTCAAGTGTGGGAAGAGTTTGAAAGTCAATGTGATGTGAGTGTCTATGCGGTTGATAATTGCTTTAGAACCTTCTTCTGGCGCTGTCATCCGCAGACTTTTCATCTGAATCAAACTTCCTAGAGTGCCGTTTCGGTAAATAGACTGTATGTTATTTTAATTTACTTAACGTGTTCATGCAAAGCTTCCTGTAAAATACGCGGATTGATTAGCACCATTTTATTGAGTGTGTGCCTGCTTCCCTTCCGTGCACTCTTTAAGCGCGTTATATCGATTCTCACTTTTGAAGTTCGTCAGTTTTGCTCATCCAACTTCCTAAGTTTGATGCGGCTCATCTTTACGTTCGTTCACTTAACGCGATTCATTAAAACCGAACCGAATCCTTGAAGAAGGCAAGATGTGAATTAGACTCCCACCTTACTGCTTTTAAACAATTATTTATTCCTATAATTACCTAATTTTTATATGCCTGTTTCCCAGAAGGCATGTCCTCTTTTAAGTTGAGCATACTTTTCCTTTTTGGAAGTGAAAAGATGATACTGTCGTTTTAGGTGATGTTACTGATCAATTCATTGGCTCATGTCGAGCTTTGGATTCGTGGTTTATTCAAAAACGTCTCATTCTTACCATGAAACGTCCTGAATGTCAGCTTGCCGACGTGAGATCTGTTTGAACAGTTATTATTTTTGTAGGAAGTTGCGGACTTGCGAAAAGAATTGGAAGCAAAGATTGACCATGCTAATTGTTTGAAACAAAAGATCCGTGAATACGTTTCTTCAATCAATACAATTGTCACTAAGGTAATAATTTGACATTCTTTTTACCACCTTTTCTTGTAGCTTACGGCAGGTGTAGCGCATGTATCAGACGTCTGATAAGTAGTGCTGCTCTGTTGAACAGTTTGTAAATGCATATTTCTACCTTGTCACGTTTTCGCTCGTTGAACGATTTACAACAAAAAATCTGGGATCGTTACCCGTTTTGGATTGTTTATGAACAGATCGTTGTGTTGTGCCTTAGTTTTGGGAGCGGAGTTCCTTAGCACCCCAGTCGAGGGTTTGAGTCCATGATTTGTTGCGAGCATATCCGCTTTCTGGTTAGAAGTCGGACGGTGGACGACTTGGGGGGGGGGGGGGTGTAGGTGGCGGTGGACGAATTGGTGCTGAGGCGGTGTGCGGTGACTTCCGACGTCTAGACGCCTGGTGGTGATTGGGTGGTGTTTTAACGATGAGGGGGTCATGGCCTTCTGCTTGTTGGAGGCATGCAGTTAATAAGATCGGGGTACGGGACACCGGACGCTGAGTTCGATGCTGCACGGGACGCCACATGCAGAGCTGAAATCATGTTTCCGGAAATTCAGAAGGTGCCGGGCTCACTTGATTCTCACCTTTTGGTAAAGAGAAAGTATAAGTCTTTATAAGTACTTACAGAAGCCTAGCTGTTACTCTGAAATAGAACCTTAATCAGTGAGATTATAAGTATCCGTATTCACCACGAAATATTTAAACTAGCAAAGACCATTTGTGTCGGTAGCTCTATAAAAGACATGACGTGGCATGTTCGGATAATCAACGTGTCGTCTCTTATCAGATTATCCATTAAATAATCACAAAATAGGTGTTAGAATTACCATAGGCTGAGGCGCCTTGCTTAAACACCCTTTCGGGCCTAGTGTGATTTGGTGGGTGGCGCTACTGTCTTTCATGCCGTGGTATAATAATGCGAATATTTTTCACTTGTGGAGTCATTCAACTAGTTCTTCTAGTCGTGTTTTCCTTGGGTTCTCATCGTGTCTTAGTGTTTCCACCTTTATTCAGTCATATGCATGTCTCACTCGTTCTCAATCAATGCTTCTCAATCAATATCCTTTTGTTTCGCTAATCCAAACCCGTTTTACAGGTGTTAATAACTACTCTGTTCTAGATTCATTGGGAAATTCACCCAAGATATACGCTTTTGGTGCTCTCTGTTCTTGTTTGTTTTTTTGTAAGTCGTTATTGACAGCTGTCGACCTTGTGGTAGTTAATGGAAATTTTCAATGGGTTTTGGTGCCATCTAAAGTGTCATTTATTGTGGATGATAGTGAAGGATGGGATGTTTGTTCATTCGGCTTGTTTTATTGGAACTCTGGGTTGATTTTGCTGCTTTCATCTCCGTTTTTTGATTTGTTTACTTGCAGTTTTTGCTTTTACTTCTTGATAAATATCGCGGATATTAGACCATAATTTGATTTTCCAGATTGATATTTACATCGACATGGGTGATACTGACTTGCCACAGAGTTCCAATGGAAACCGGTTTTCGAAATTTGTTAACGAGGTTCCTCTGGATGATTTCGTTGAAATTCCTCTCTTTTCTGATGGGGAAAGTGATACCTGCGAGCCCCATTCTAGAGCGACCCCACAAGACGCAAAGCATTCTCTAATCGAGTTAGAACCGGTCTTCCCTCCGCAGTCCAACTCGCACTCGGCCATACAAGCTTTTTTCGAACCCACGTACACACCGTCTCCCAAACGCTATGCATCTAATTTACGCTCACCTGTCGATGGCACGAGTTGTCAAGATATGGAGGATGATGTCGAAGATGATCTTAACTTTAATGAAGACTTAGCCAATGCAATACAGTATCAATGTTCTCTCTTCAGTCCATCCCTTGTTCACGCCATTAACTCAGATATTAAGGAAATAAAGCGCTCACTGACTACTTCTGCTGCTTCAGAAGACGATAAACTGGGTTTCCCACAAAAGCAAGAATCGTTTGCCTGTTCAACATCCTTTCAAATGAAGGAGGCACAAAACTCAAGACGAATTAAAAATGACGAAGGTATTTTTAAACCTGATCTGACATTTAAGTTTCATCGACACAGAAAACATTCCGGAGGCCGCAGAAGGCATGAGCAGTCAAGGTATCAGATCGCATCTTCCCGCTTGAGCATGAGTAGTTGTGTTATTGACGTGCTGTTCCGACTCAGTTCCTGCATGCGTTCTTCGTGCTTCCCATAATTTCGAACCTATGGCTTGTCTCCGTGCATGGTTTGGTTTATTATCTCAGTAGAAGCTGGTGCCGATTATCGACTGGATTCCAGTCTGCGCATTCGACATTTTTCCAGTGAAATACGTTATTCGCATGCGCAAAATTGTTCGACACTCCCTATCACACAGTAATCACCCAAACTTTCTGTTTTTACAAACAGATCGTTTTTCGTTAAAAGAAGGCTTCATTCAACGAAAGTCAAGATGATCAAGTCGACTGGACAGCCGGATGGTAGGCTTTGATTTGAAATTTGCTCCTTTTGCCTGCCTTTCTTTCACTAAGCTCACCTGTCATTGGCTTATTTTCTCATCCTTCCTCACGAGGTGGTAAGAAGGATGAGTTGACGGTCCGCCAGTGGAGCTTCACAGCGCCCTCCAACGCTATCTACAGTACCTCGGAGAGCAGCAGTACCGCCACCAACTCGGACGCCGAGGACTCGGCAACCTCAAACTCCTCTCAACCGCCATCGTCGCTACCGTCACAGGTCGTCTCTCGACTTAATAACACCGATGCCACCACCATAGGGATGCAGGATGGCGAGTGGTCTCTAAAACGCTGTCCCCCATGCCCTCGCACCTTGCGTCCGCCTGCCGGTGGGTCTCCAGATAGGCAAAGTAGTGAGGTCTTGGGCTCCGCCCTCGATTCCAGTTCCATCGCACAGTGTTCACAACACGTGAAGAAATCGCAAGCGTCTGAACCTGGTTAGTTGTTCCTTTAGTTTCTTTGAGGTCATTAAGGACGGATGGTTGGATTTCGTTTTGGTCCAAATATATCGTAATGCATGAATTATCTATCGGCTTGCTACCTCTACTTTTTATGGGAATACTTTTCGTTGTCTTTCTCGTCATTTTCTTAACTATAGTTTTTGTATTCCTAGGTCACTGGAATTATGTGAATGTGCACGTGTTTTGCCTGCGAAACTTTTCACCCGTTAACGCTCATTTAACTGTAGCCACCTTAGTTTTTGCAAAATGTGTAGGCGAGTTGTCTGGTCGAGCTAGGTCGAGATTTAAGCACCTCGTCTATATCTTCGAACAGATGGGAGAATTATTTTCGTGATTTTGTTGCACTCAGTAGTGCGCCCCTCAGCTTCGTGTGCGGAGTATTGGAGCTAATTGATTCAAGTTATAGTTTGCTACTTAAAATTTTCCCCCAAATTGGCTTTCATCATATTTGAACAGGCCTCACATTGGGCTATCATTGTTGGGGTATCCCCCCATAGCCCCGATTGGTTAAAGTGCCTTGAGTGAAAGTACAGTCCACCGCACTCTAAAAAGCAATGTGCGTCAAGTGAAATATTTTTGGGCTACTTTTTGTCAGGCTATAATCTGCGGCGCTGCTTGCGTCCGATTGAATTAGCGTTGATCAGCCAAGGTAAAGTCACATGGGAAGACCCAAAATTTGATTACACCGTCTTATTAGGAGATTTTGGATTTTAGGTGTTCGTAGAGGCATTAGGTAAAATTATCGAGGACTCGTTATAAATTAGTGTAACTATCGTCAATCCCCCGGTTGATTTCTTCGTAAATTCCTCCTTAATTAAGACCAAATTTATGTCGTCTTTTTGTTTTCAGTAAAGTGAAGATGGCATTTTGTACCACCTGAATATTTTTAACTCGTGAATCAGCAACGTTATAAACGGAATTTCAGGTTTCTCTCCCTTCTTCCATCTTCTAATTTTTTTATCGGCATGGTCTTTGCATTCGTATAAAGATTCCTTGTTTGAAAAATGTAATAGTGATTTAAATAGATCTTAACGTTTTAATCTTGACACATCTCTGCACCTCACCTCAGTGGTCTGATCCATTGCCGAAACGCCCATACGCTGACAGGCCTTGTCAGCCATGATAAAGCATTTTCTTATCAGCTGCGTCTGTGTGATTTTTCCCCCCTATTCGGGTAACTATTTCTTGAAAATACCTGCATTCCTCCATGCTTAGACTGGGAAACTTGTGCCTTATACTCGTCCTATTGTTTAATATTTGTCGTAGTTACTACTTAGTGACAGTATATTGCCGAAGCAGTTTAATTGGATGTTGGAGTACCATTCAACGTTGACTCCAGTTAGCTGTTTTGTGAATTAAATTTGTTTGTCGATTTTTTAAATCACATAACCAATACTTTGTTCCCATTTTTATGCTTTAGGACATTCCAACAGCGCTTCGGCTTTTCACTGCCTTATCGGTAGCTGTAATTCCAGAACCAAAGAATGGATGTTGACGTCAGCAAAGTTCCATTCAGTAGGACTGCCTAGGCTACAACATGCATAATATGCCTTCTATGTCGTTCCTATACCTGAGTCACCTAACTAGGAAATGTAATAAGCTAGCATGGTTTAACTTAGGTGAAAAGATTCTTTGTTTTGTGTTGTTTGTAATTTTACCTGAGCTTTTCTTCGTATTGTGCCATTTGAACCACCACTTTATTCGTCTTTTAAGATTATGGGAGTGACGAGGACACTGATCAGCTTCTAGGCAAGCAGTACCGTTCTGACAAGCCCGTTGAAATTCCTGAATTGAAGGAAGAAGCGGAGTACTTGGTAAGTTTAAGGACTTTAACATTCAGCTTTAGATAGCGTCTACTCATGGTCTAGGAAAGTGCCCGGCATAGTTAACCTTGAGTTGAAGTATGCATAATGCACTAATTAGACCTAAGATTAGCGTGTTCCGGAAGTTCGTACGATCTCTGCTTGGGTTTGAAACGATCCGGAGATTGTTTACCCCACCTTTCTTCGCTGTATTCATTTTAACATCACATGCTGCCCAATTAACGCTTTCTTTCTGTGCTGTAAGCTTTACTCGTGTGTTCTTTTTCTACCGATATCCCTGTGCAATTTTATTCAGAAACAGACTAGAACTTAGTCAGCGGTGAAATAAAGCTTAACAGAAAGCATGACTTCGTTAAGGTAATTTCTTTCACAACGTTGGATTGATTCATGACATGAACTGCAATGAAATATCTACCGTTTCCTCATATCTGGAATCGTGTGCCATTCTAGCGCAGTAGTTGTGTAGGGATACTGATTTGCTCTTTCTGCGCAACCTAAAATGTTGATTATTAGGAGTTTTTAAGAAAGCGACCATTTTATTTGATCTCAACGACGGTCGATTCGTGTGTGCGTAGGCTTTCACACGTTGAACGGGGTCGTAGGTGAAAATACTACAGTTAATCGGCTGACTAAGTTTCATTCCACTTGGACTAAGTACTTTTTTACACTCTTCACCTCACACGATGAACGAAATCTTGCGAGCGAGTGAGTGAATAGGTAAAGGGATCCGCACATCCCAGCCGCCTCCCTCTTACCCATCTGATCGATGGTTGTTCCCGGTCGCGTCACAATTTTATCTTCTCCCTTCTGAATCTCCAAATCATCCTGCCCCTGTCCTCCTTTATGATTGGTTTAGTGCTAAGTTGAATCATTAGTACATTTACAGCCAACTAAACTTCTTGCTGCCTCTGGTATGAAAAAATGCTTCTTTCCACTGCCAAATGAGTGCTCCTTAATTCAATCTACACATGGAAACTTCGCCTAAATCATTTGTGCGTCTCACATGAAGTGGTTGCCATGTTTCAGCACTTTGTCAACGTGGATGATTGGTAAATCGACCAACTCTGCGCACGCAAATGCGCGTATTACTATCATAGCTGATATGTAAGGCGCTTCAGCGATCATCTGTACATGTTAAAACCTCCCTCCTCCGTACTCAATGTTTTAAATGGCTCTTAACTGATCTTGTGTATTGTCTGTCTCCTTCTAGTCTGTGAAGAAACGCCGCGGCCGGGAGGGTGAGCCTATTCCGTGTTTGGTTTTTTTATTTTGTCTCCTTTTTTTTCGTTTTGGACATCATATGCCATTTCTTTATGTTTGGTGCTTGGTTAATTGGACGACATTCCTAGTCACCCGTGGATTTTTGCGTTCTTCTTTTTGGTTTTTTTTTTGATCAGGACATTCGCTAATTGATAAACGACCTAGTGTTTAGGCATTTTTCCACTCGCTGAAACATCACCCCATCACAGGCTCTCGCACCCTTTGACACTACCCATTTAGGCGTGTGAAATTGGAGAATATTACCGGGTTTGTTGAAAATAAATTTGGAGAGTTCTACGTTTTTTACTTTCGTGTTGTCGTTTATTTGCATTAATCGAGCCACGAACCTCCGAGCTGCTTCTTTTTTTCTGCAATTCTAGTATCTTGCTCGAATTCAGATGCTCCCGTGATGATATCTATTTTAGGATATCAACAAATCTTAATCAAATTCAAGGCTTCTTTTTTAATTTGTGTAAATAATATCAGTCTCCAGTTCTCTTTGTGCCTCCTTTATTTTCTTCAGTTGCCGTTCATCATCCGGATTTCCCCCAACGCCCAATCGAAGGCTGTCTCTACCGCTCGCGCTACCTGGGCAGCACCCAACTGCCCTGCGAAGACTATCCCTCCAAATCCAATCGTCTCCATCAGGCGCAGGAGGCGGTCCAAAGAGTCAAGGTAGTTTTAGTTGGTGGACGGATTCGCTACAGTAGAAATTGCAGTAATTCCTATGTGCTCCGTCTTTGGTAAGATTCCGTTAACGATTTGCGGGCGTATAGTTTATGGAGGTACTATGTATGGATTGCGAAACAGCTCGCAACGCATCAACACAACTATTTGTGCCAGATAATGATATGCGGTTTCTTTGGAATTTAAAATATGGACCTCTCAGCATTCATTATGATGAGAGATTCGTAGAATATTAGTTTGTAACTCGTGTGTGAAGCTCATCCATTCTCATTGAGCAAATGGCGGATGTACACAGTGGCTATAACCACCAGTTTAGGAACGTTTTTCACCTTTTCGAATTGACATTCAATTTCTCATTGAGCTTCGACTGTTCATTCCAATTTCCCCCTTATCAGGTGGTAGGTTGAGCATGGGCTGAGATGTGAAGCTGAGCATGGATTGCCGTTTATTTTATTTTAAATGCTGACACGAATGTTATCACAGAGAGGTGCTTTTTTATCCCCCGTTACTGAATAGTAGGCCCCTCGTTTGCTTCCACGTGTTCTTCATCGTTATCGGCATTTATCCTGCTTCCGAATCCGTTGGTGCGCCTGCTATTCGTTGCTTTATTGCAGTTTATTTCAATTTTCTCAATAAAGTACCATGGCGTCATTGTGGAGCAAGAGACTGAGTGCTCCTTGGTGTTGTCGTCTCTTGATAATGGTCATCATTTTTACGCTCATTTTGTTCATATAGCGCTTGTGTGCATGTCGATTTGAACTGACCACGTTATAATGCGTATTCCTCGAGTTCCGAATTTATTTATTTATTCTTCTTTTCGAAGGTAATTACTTACGTCACGATCTAGTGAGATACCTCGCCATTATGTTGCAACCGCGATTTTTCTTAGTCAGGTTAGGGGATATCGGATGAGGAGGGCGTTTAAAAAAAGTTCCCTGAAATCCAAACTGGTTGCCTTAAGACATATTTAATAAATCGAAATTGCTGCGGTTTTCAAACTACCAGACTAGTTGAGGATTGGAGTGGGTTTTACGATTATCATGTACTGGTTATCCAACATCGGTATTTCGCTGCACTGTTGATGTGTAGACTTTGGGTGTGCCGGAACAAGGTAAAAGGTGTGTTTTGAATTACTTTTTCTCACAGGTTTTAAACATAATGAGTTTTTTAGTTTACTTGGTAGAATTCACTTCTTCGTTTCCCAAGACTGGTAACACTTAGCCTACTTGATGACATGAAAATTATGTAAGCGTGCTACCGAGGAGTTTTGGACCACTGCTACTCGCTTGACTCACTATGCAAATCGCTTGAGCTCCAGCCACACCTCCATACGGATTCACTTTGGTCCATTAGCGGTTGCAAAACTGTACCGCGCTTAAGGCTTAACGATTCCATCTGTTTTTGTCAATTTTGAACGGCGCTTATTCGTACGGGGTAATGACAAGAACGAAAAGACTGTCATTGGATGAGTTGATCACTAGGACATGTGAAAATCCCACTCTGATGGTACATTTCAAATTCATTCATTGTTAGACTTTGCTGTCCATTGTTTTCAATAGTTTTGCTTGCTTTCTTCGGAGTAAAGCGGAGTGATCAGCGTTTATTTCTCCATTACTATATATCAGATAAATACCTGGTATTTGAAAGCAGTTGTTAATTAAACTCTATCATCTTCATAAATGTAGTGCGGCTTATCGAACTCGTGTGTTTTCAGACGTCCACTTGGTACTCTACTGTGAAGCACTAATTTCATTGATACTTCTATTACAGGCTCCCGACGGAGAAACCCAGCCAAGTGTTCCCGTCGAACTTTTTGTCTCGACGGAGCGCATCCTCATTTTGAATAAGGACCTTGATGTACGTTCGAACTTCTTTGTCTTAAACTGCAATTGACTGCTCACAAGCATTCTTCAAATAAGCGCCACTAGCCGCACTAACTTAACAAAACAACACGTCACTTCTTGGAAATTTCGACATCTGCCAGTATTCATTTGGTTGTTCAGGAGATAGTGATGGACTACGACCTGCGCCTCATCTCTTACATTGCCGACGTGGGCAGTATCCTAGTGCTCATGGTTCGTCGCCCCCATCTGCCGGCCCGACGCTGCAGCCCCTCCACCGCCACTTCCCTCTTAACTACGGCCACGTCCGCTACGGCATCTGCGCCCCCGCCACCCCCCGCAGGCTTACTTGATGGCCCCTTAGCCAACAATTCTATTAATGGTAGCAGCAGTAGTCCCAGCTGCAGCGACATTATCGACGCCAATGCTGATCGTGATTGCAACCCGCCCAAGATTGTCTGTCATCTTTTTGAAAGTGATGAGGTATGGTAAAATCATCCACTTCTTATCGTGTGTTGACTATCTAAGTTCAATTTCCTGTTCAGTTGATGTATTTGGATGTTTTACTGGTGGCAGTGGGTTTTTGAAAGCTGGTTTTCACGGATGTATGTGCATTTTTCTCGTGAAACTCGAGTTTTTAGATGCCCTTTGCAAAATTAAAATATGTATACTCTTATCCAAATAAGTCCTCAGAGACTTCAGCTTGTTGCTCCCGCCATGATCTCACGGGTGGATGCGGTGTTTATTCAAGTGATTTCAATCGTGTGCCATCGATCCCTTTGGGCGTTTTTTGGCTGACCATCAGTAGCCTTCATTGAAATAATCACTTTTGCTTCTTTTCTACGAAAAAATGATTGAATTTACTGCCTTTGAACAAACTCCTTCAGGTCGCCTCTCACATTGAAATTATTTTCTTTTATTCACTTATAACTTTCATGCTAATATGTTTTGGGGATGTGTTCAGATTTTTAATTTACTTAATTTTCATACAAGAACTTTTCATGACGTTAATATATCTCTATTTACTTGCAAATTGTCGAGCATTCAACTCTTCCCGTGGCGATCTTCCACGTGTTTTTCGCAAGTAACGCATCTGTGAGACGTTTATTATAAGTGCGCGTAATTTTTTGCACTTTCCATCGCCATAGACGCAGATGATCGCGCAAGCTATTGGCAAGGCCTTCCATGAGGCCTACTTCGAGTTTCTACGACAAAATGGTGTCGAGGATCCAGAGGCTTTCCAGGAGCACAACTACCAGAAAATACTTCACCAACAGGAGATCTTCCGAAACGAGTTGGCCTTCTTCGCTGACAAGGAGCAAGAAAAGGAGGTTTGTAAAACCCATGCCTTTAGGCCTGCCCCTCACTAAAGTGGGTAATCGGATGACTGGGTAGCACTTTGAACTTTTCATCTGGATTTTCGGGATTCTTGTGCATTATAATCTCACATGAGTCCGATCTTCCATGAAAGCATGTTTTGGAACTGAAAATGAAAAATTGGACGCATTTCGATTAATACATGTCCACCTTGTGAGGCTACTGGTAAAACTCCTGCATGCGCTGCGCAGTGAGTTAACCGAACCTTTTCTCCCCCACTGTTGTAGACTAGAAAGGGGATTTTATTTATTCATCCCATTAGTATTATTCTGCATTTTGTGTATTTGGTTGTTGACTGCACTTAAAAAAACAATTTGGCTTGTCCTTATGTCTTAATTCATGAATCTTCATCGACATTTTAATAGGAAACCGTCTCTTCGACCTTCCTCTCTTATCTCAATTTTATTCAAAGGAAATATCCGCACTGTCAGATATGCACCTTTGCATAATGTGGAATGGGTGTCTTAACGAAATGCGCCATCGAGTATTATGAGACAATTAAATATCACTTTGGGTGGGACATCATCCTTCTCAATGTACATTAGTCCTCTCGTATCCCCTTGCACATTTGGCAACTTTCATACTGTATGAGCATAGAAAAATGAAGGTGCTGCAATATAAATCGAGCATACTGTTTGTGGGAGCACGAGTTGCTGTATTAAAACCAGCTAACTTCATCCACTCTACTTTCTCGCTCAACTGCTTCGTCTGTTTGTTCGTGGTTAATTAACCTGGTTGCTAGTGCATGAGCAGGAGCTTAAATGTTGTGGGAGGTATTTTGCTTTTTATTTGCGCTAGTGGCGCGCCTTTCTGTGATTCGTTGATGTTGCTTGATGGGATCGGGAAGAATGAGATGATTTAATACTCATTTTACTCGTGCCTGAGCGGCCAGACCAAGACGTTCGGTGTTTGTGCAGGTGATTGTGCCAAAGCAGAAGGGCGAGGCGCTGGGTGTGGTGATAGTGGAGTCGGGTTGGGGCAGTGTGCTGCCCACTGCCGTGCTCGCCAATATGCACCCCTCTGGCCCTGCGGCGCGCTGCGGGCAGCTAAACATTGGCAACCGCATCATCTCCATCAACGGCCAAAGTCTCGTCGGCCTCCCCCTCGCCACCTGCCAGTCTCTCTTCAAGGTACCTTACGTCTTAGTGACATTTAGCGCTACCGCCACTTTCTCCTTTTTTCTAGGCATTCAGCAGAAGGCGATTAGATACGTCTGGTCAGCTTACTCTGTGTTTATTTTAGGCGCTGTATTAGTCTGATGATCGATTGACTAATCACGATTTTAATCACCTGAGTTTACTAGAATTTCATTCATTTAATACACATAGAGGAGGGCGCGTGTAATGTTTACTTGTAGTCGATTAATTCATGCAGAGGAATTTCTTCCACATTTCCACACTTAAACAGGCGGCGAAGAACCAGACGGCGGTGAAGCTAGTGATCGTGAACTGCTCGCCAGTGGTGGAGGTGCTAATCCGACGGCCAGACCAGAAGTTCCAGCTGGGTTTCAGCGTTCAAGACGGAGTAATCTGTAGCCTCCTGCGTGGCGGGATTGCGGAGCGCGGTGGCATTCGCGTGGACCACCGCATCATCGAGATCAATGGAGAGTCGGTGGTTGCGGTGCCTCACGAGCATATTGTCAATCTCCTCGCCACCTCCATCGGCGAGATCTATCTTCGCACAATGCCGACTTCTATATTTAGACTGCTGACCGGGCAGGATACACCCCATTACATCTGAAAGGTGCATTTCTCCGGAAATGGAACCGTAAATGTTTGTTATTTCTCACGCACATCACGCGCGCTGTGTCACTCCATTCTAGTGCTCTTTCCTCCAGCTTATGTTGCATTTTTCTTTACTTTTGAATACTCACACGCATGCACCACTTTCTCTGTAAATATCACTTTTAACCATTTGTATACATTCGATGCCCGATTCTGTACTGTGACGCTCCACTCTTTTATTCTCTCAAGGCTTCCACGGAGCATTCCGCCCGTCTCTTTGTCTTCACTTGCATGCACTAGTGTTTACCATTCCAGGCAAGTCTGGTAAAACCTAAACCCTCTTTTTTTTCTTCCCCCAAGCTAAAGAAGGGTGATCAGTCTACGATTAGATGATGATCATTTCCCCAAATTTGGCCGTGAGAAAGCGGTAGAAGGTGACCGATTTGTCTTTACAGAAAATCGGTAAAATAGTCTTTCACGAGCATACGCGTTGCGCAATCACAAATCGCATATCATAGAAAATGTGTACATATTCACACGCGTGAGGTGGTAGTAGCATCTCAGAGTCGGGTTTAGTCGGAGATGGTGAATCTAGCGAGGAGACACGAGGGGGGAGGTGTTTCTGTGGTGTCCTATCGAATGTAAAAGTGCTGTGATGGGGCGCCAGTGGAGTGGTGCTTCACGTAACCATTACGAAAGAGCAAGTCTGGAGGACGTCTGAGCGTAGTAGTGGATTTCGGTGTCCGGGGGGTGATGCGTTGCTGTACTAGTGGGGGCGGAGTCATTGTTCGCGCCGTCGTTACCTGGTTCACCGGGTTAAGGTTGACGCCAGGAGCCTGAGGTCGTGGTAGGGGTGGTTGCAGCGCCTGGAGCGACGAGGAACGTGCCCACTCCACCGAGGACTGACGAGTTAACTGCTTAATTTCGGCAACAGTTTTTTGTGTTTGCGGATCTCCGCTGAGGCATCTACTCACTCGTTCCTTGGCTATTTGGTAGTCTCGCAGCAGACTGATCCCATACTAAAATGCAGCGTAGACGTTTTTGCTACTTGCCTTCATTCAGTACAGCCTTTAACCACGTGGATCACAACGATAGACATCTGAAAGTGATCAGTCTCAAAGGCACGAAAGCATTGGGAATGTCGTACCTTGGCTAATCGAAGTCGGCAGGCCCATTGCTTCAGTGCGTTCTCGTCCGGAGCGCAAAAGCAGAACACATGAGACGAGCTGAAATCTTGTGCAGCATAAGTCTACAATGGATATGGCAATCACATTCGTAGCTTTGACATGATTCGAATCAATTCGTATTTTTTCAAATTGATATGATGTTGAATGACAAGCCGAAAATTACGATTTGACAGCGAAATCATGTGTTAACAAATTCTACTCAATACTTCTCCCCCTTAATATATCCTGCCAAAGATTTGCTTGCGGAAGAAAGGTGTCTCCACATACTTTATGTTGCCACCATAAACAGTTAGTAAACTAATGATCATACCTTCTTAAATCACTCCAGACTTTCCTGCTGAAACTTTGTCTAATTTTTTGCTTTGGTAACAGTGTAACTAGACACCCTTTTAAAAACGATTTGAAGTTGATTTACAAATAAGGATCAATACAGCGGTGCATTCATACTGTAGAGCTAACTTTATGCAGTTGTTTATGATTAGAAATCATCCCCTGCATTTTTTCATCTGATGTCTCTAAATTGTGCCTGATCGCTACCTAAACTTCGTGGGATACATAATAGTGATGGTTTCAACCAGATTTATCATCAAGTCTATTCATCCAGCTTATTATTTTGTACTATGTAAGACAATAAGTCAGATTACCACACTTGCCAACGATGAAGTGCTAACATTTAGATGATGAGCTACCACCGAGCCGAAGTATGCTTGGGGCGCAGCAAGACAAGAGTGACATGGGAGACCGACCTTAAGCGCAAATCCATGCGGCGTGGGCGCCCTCATTCGACTCCACCCACCGGTGGTAGTGTAGATGTGCAACTTGTCGTCCAACGCTAGCAGTCGCACCAGGTCGCTCACCTTTAGATGATGGAAGAAGAAAATTGGAATGCCACCTACCTTGCGATGGGACATTTGGCGGAACAGGTGTCTAGTCTCCATACTACCATGAATTAGAGAATGTAACGATAGCTACAGACTAGGATCAAAACTATTTCAAGATGTTTTTGACGACCATCAATCAAGAGTTTGAACTGCTATAGAGGGACGGTGATCTGTATCAAGCAAAATGATTTTTATAGTCTATTACAGCAAAGACAAAAGACCAAAATTTGCGTGACGGCAACAGGTCGCTGAAATTGGCTCATATCAAAAATTACTTTAAATTATTGGTTAGTTTATAACTTTACGAGAAATCTGCTGAGTGTCTTTTTTGGCGGATCAAAAGGAGCCTTATCGTTGACACAGTAGTAGCAGCCTCAACTACGTGGCGGTCATCTTACACGAATTTGCAAAAGCACATACCAAGAAAGCCTTTTTGTTCTTCTTGGTGGCATAGAGACCCGAATTGCGGAGAACGCACATTCTCCTGGTCCAGGTCTTCTCACCCGGTTTCCGGATGTACAAGAAATCGTGCCACTCCGCCAGTCCGGAGGAGGTGAAATTCTCCAACATTGTCTAAATGATACGAGCAGACTCGGCACAATCATAAATTCAACACATGGCAAGATCACAGTCTTCCAGCCCTCAAAAATAACCTAGTTAGGCTGAATTGACACTATTCGGCGGGAAGGTAGGTCAAGAATTGACGTGCAACATGCTTTGCGGATTTTAATTAAATTGGCAATCAAAGTGAGGTTGTCAAGCTACGAAACGGGGATTAGGTAAATAGTCAATTTGTTATTTATCGCAAGTCCACACAAAAAAGTGTTGTACTTTTCCCGCACTAATGATTAGTTACACTGAGTGGAGGTGCAGGATCGGGTTTAGTCGCACTAAATTAAGTCGGCTGGTGGTCAGACGAACGAAGTGTTTCTGAAGCAAGCATGAAGCTGTCAAAATAAAGTCAACAGCTGCTTAAAGCACCAGTAACCTGTACAGAATCACTGGAATGGAAGCCATGAGCGTCGGCGTAGGTTTCACCAAGCCAGTCCTACAACGAAATAAAAATAAACGTGAAAACATCACCCGTTGCAACATTTGACCAACCCTCCACCTACCCGCATGCAAACACAAAAATTAAAATAATGTTTTGAAATTTTTTTAAGCCAATGAATCGTTTATTCCAGACATAAGTTATCCAGTGCATATTTTGGTTCTGTCGGTAATCACAAGACCGGAGTTGGTTTAAGTAAAGTAGGGATGGCAGCGGCAAGATTGTTTTTCATCCCCCTATGATTCGGCCATCTTCGTCACAGTCTATCTTTACTTGGTAAGCCTCCAGAATCAGGCCAGCTGAATTTCATTCGTCCGATTCTGCTGTTTATCTTGGCAATAGAAATAATGTGGCGAAACGTATTTGGCCTTCAATTCAGTTCAACGATGGTGCACAACGTGTTTCCAAAAGGCAAAATATTTTTAGTTGAGTCGGTTTCATTCATATTTCGACGGTTAGGCAGGAAAGGCCCTAGCAGCAGTAACTTTTTATCGGCGAAAATGTCAAATCGAGTACCTTGCCGACAACTTTTTCGCTTACAACAATGAACGGGAGGTTGGCTTTTTAAAAAATAGAGAAAAAGTGCCAACGCCCACATGCACCGAAGCACTTTGAAGGTGGAGGCATGATGCGTGGGTCACTGGAGGCCAATATTTAGCGTTAGCACCTGCACCTGTCATACGAATAACGAGCAGATGAAAAGCCGTTTTAAGGAGATCCGGTGAACACAACGGGAGAGGAAAATAAAAGGGGTTTATTTGCCTCTAAAATGCATGCTCCAGTCTGCACTTAAGTGTTTGTCATCCAAATGGAAATTAAAATAGATTACTTTGGGTGATTCGATGAATCCAAAGTGGTCATCCCGACTCTCGAAGAAGATCATGTTCTGGCTCTTGATAGGCCACGCGAGAATGCACTCCGCGACAATGTCGGACTCCTCGAACACTCGCTCTATTAAAAAAGTATCACTTATTGCTGACTGTAATTATTATGCAATTCTGGGGAAAATAAAAGAGTCGAACTTAGATCCATGCTTAAGGAATACTAGTTTCGGCCAATGTGGAGTAAGATTAAGGGTTCAGGTGCGTCAGTAGCTTTCTTTTGCATTCATGCCCAAAGGTCACGCTGTGGGGTCCGGTCGACAGACTGATTCGATTTTTAACGTCACAAGACGGGGGACGCTGGCCTGTGCAGCCTTGATAAACTACCATCCGGAAACACACGCGCTACGTCCTCAAATGCCACTTCTTCAGGCGATATAAATAACATTAATGATTTTTTATTGCGTGGGTAAATTCTCTCGCTCTAGCAAAAATCGACGAGTGGTTCGCTATACCGGGAATATGAGTAAGGCAGGTCTCGGATGTATTTCACACCTAAGGATACTGCGCACCTCGGTCGCTGCAACAGTGATCAAGCCATTTCAATAATTAGTGGCTTTTGATATCTTAATTGACCATTAATTCACCTTCGAGAGTATCTCGGGTCTACGGTGCTGCCATCCTCGCTCTTAAAACCGTATAATTTCTACCAAACCCATGAGTTTTAATTTTGAAAATGACCTTTCCGTTAGTCCTCTTTGTACGAAGACAAAATCTTAGAGAGGTTCTGTCTCATTCAGCCTAGCCTTGAGAAATATCTAATCAAACGGTTGCTAGGTAGAAAATACCGCCATTTTTCGGACTCCAGGAGATGAATATTTGCGTGGGAATGTGATTTTATGCATGCGAACAGTTTCAAATTATCTTCGTGGATTCTTACCAACGGCTAATCGGTGGAAAATTTGATTTTATAAAATTGGGATACGAGAACTTAAACTGACGTCTGCATTCTTACCTTAGGTTTACACGCTAGCATATTTTTTCGTGCTTAATATTTCTTATCTGAATGTGCGGTTGACACGCGGTCAACTCTAACGAAGTGGACCTTCGTTGGGCTTGTAAACATAAGGTGAAGTTAAGGCTAATGTCATGTCTACGCTAGTTCAAAACGATCTCGCTGATTTATCCAATGTCCTGAGGTCAGTTACAAAAAAAAATTAGCAGAAAATCCTTCTCGATGTTTGCAGGGGTGTGCCGTAAAACAGAACAGGTTTTCCAGGTTTTTCCACTTGATTGTCAAATTGCTAAACGAAAAGAAAAAGGTCTTCATCTCAACGTACCAACTTTCAGGGAGGGAACCTTTTCTACCAGGCATAGTTTGACGCATGGTTCGAGGAAGTTCTTCTCTATCAGCATTGAAGCTATCTCTCCCGCTGCCATGCGCTGGTCAATCAAAATTGCCTTTGTTGTCCTGTCTGGTCGAAATATCCGAACTACGAGCTGTCAACCGAAAGAACAACAGTTGAATCAGACAACATTTTGAACACTTACTTCTGTTTACGGCCATTTCCGCTGATCTGTGTTGTTAAAAGTCAGTTATTAAGGGATTTGTAAACATCACCTCGCTCGATTTAATGCGTGCATGATGATCTGCGCAGACAAATTTTTTCGTTAACTCTCGATCAGGATTTGAAGATTTCGGGGTTGTGTCTAATTAAACAACCAATTTACTCACGTTCGCAGTCAACAATTTGCCCTAAGTTCAGTTGACACCAAAGTACATACCGTTAAGTGATGTTAACCTTAAGACGCTTTCAACTCAAATGCCATCTGCTTTGTGCTGCACCTAAGGGTCGAATATGGCTTTTAAAATGCTAACATCATTCAACTGATGTATTTTCACGATTTGTAATAAAAGACCCAGACTTGGAATCCAGCTTGGAGGCAGTAATATGACATATTAATCTTGAATCAGTGAAATATTTCATGCTGCGGTTTCGCATTCAGTGTTTCCCAGTTCTGTTTTCTGTACAAACAGTGGGAAGCTGGTGAACGCATTTTAGCCTGTGAGACAATTCCAGAGTCCGCAACTCACCTTGTTTAACTGGAGCCGATCTGCCAAATCAACTACCTGGCTAAGCGTGTTGGAAAGTTCCGGGAATTCAGATACCTAGGAATAAAACAGCAGTTCGTAGAGTCGCACTCAGCGCCGATCTTTTAGGAAAGTCGCGTCATCTACAACCGATCCAGTGACACACAATCCGTACCACCAGGCACCTTGACTGCATTAGTTTTTCCGTAAAATCGTTTAAAACAAGGTAGGTGGATTTTATAGTAAACTACAATTATGTCCCATCTCATATCATCCAAACGAAAATGTCAAGACCACACAGAATGCAGTAATAGTCTTTTAAAGAGTGAATTAAGTGTTAATTGCAAGCAAGAACCGAATAATGAGGTAACTAGCTGCACCCTAACATCCAACATTAATCGAGCGACAGTCGTGCATTTCGGGCTGGCAGTAAATACTCTCGCCTGCATTAACCAGTCGCCTTTAAATTGCAGATGGTAAAAGCAAATAAATACCAAAAATAGTTCCTCTCTGCGCCTACTATGGGAAGGAAAATTGAAATTCTCACAAAGCACCTCCTCCTTCAGTTGGCACTGCCTCTCCGTCTGTGCAAGTATTGCTGTATAGCCTATAAATGCATTGGTTTAGTCAGAAAATTTACAAATTTGCCACATCCTGACAGAAAGTGACGAAAATTTCACATTTGGTTATGTAGTGGATCACAAGTTCTGAAGCGAGTATCTCCTATACCAAAATATCAACTCACTCTGTGCAATACAAACCGACTAAAATCTGGCTGAGTTCCTTCTAGTGGATCAGTTGTGAGTAGCATCAGTCAACATGGTCAGACTGAAATGCCAATGCTACGCTTAAAAGCATAATAATAGCTGATCAAAGCAAAACATTATAACGAGTCCCACACTTGATTAATTGGAGATTTAATGCAAGATTTAATTTTCATTGTCAAGGTTGCCGGGCAAAAACACAAAAACAGAAACTGATCTCCAACATAACTGAAGCGAGGAAATTCGCCTTACCGTACAATTCATTAAGTTGCTCCTGACTCTTTTCAATGTCGTCGTGGTAAACAGGTAATGAAGCCAAAACCGAAAAGTCAAACCAACTGAAGTGAGCTGGAGAATTGGAGTTATTTCCCAAGTGAGCCGTTAGGCCCCGTCTACCACATATTTAAGCAAGTGAAGTAAGTCACCTGGCTTACAGACTTGTCGGAGAAGGAAGCCTCGTTGCTACTGCAGGTGGTGGCCAATGAGGTGGCTAGGGGGTTCTGTGAGAGTGGAGGCGGGAGTGGTGGCCGAAGGGCAGCCAAAGAGGACCGCCTGACGGGAGTAGAGTCGAAAGAGGAGAGACGACTGGATTGCGCCTCGTTTGAGGGCACCGCCACCTCCATCGAGTGATGGAGAAAACGCAAATATACTTGATCTCATTACTTCCAAACAACTTTTGAAGCAGAGTAATTGGTCATCCCTCTTTATTTGTGTTAAGTATTGCTATTTGTCTTGAATGACGCCCTAAATTATCCCCATGTATGGCGTGTTCTTTGGAAGAACAAGTAGAATGAATGGTTAAATTCTAGTACCAACCACTATACTTAATGCTTATCTTTAGTAGTTCCTTACTCACTGAAATCGATGTCAGAATGCATAGAAAGGCCCTAAAAGGGTAGGCAATGTCCATCATTTCCCCCAATTCGTAGCTCGGTGCTAACAAATTGCAGTGCGACACACAAATGCAATGTTTTATCTCTAACGAAAGCTAAAGTCTAAGTGGATTTACGGAACATGTAAAAGACATTACTTTGCCAATACTGAGCACAAAGTACATCACATGCAACCATCTAGAGCGGAATGGCTTGAAAAAATGGAAACGTTCTTCACCTATACTTAGGTAAATTAGCAAATTTTTTATTGAGACGATTAATTGCGAAGGTAGAAACTTTACACACGCCTACTAATGGTCAGATAGGGTGGATACTACAGCAGCCAGAGAGACAGCACCCAGGATACATGCACGACATGTGGAAGGAATCAGCCTTGTTGATTATCGCTGGGTCGCCGGTTGGATTCTTACAGGCATTAGCCGTAAACCATAAGCTACAACTGTCAACATTTAATGCATCATTGCCGTGGATATGCACAAGATAGGAAGAGAAGCACTGGAGAATAGCATATTTCAATTATCCGAACCAACTTATTCAATACCTGATGCTCAAGGTAGGTATGTCACTGTTTATGCACATCGTAAACTGTCAAACAGCTATTAAAACATCGACCGCTCCTGAAATGGTAGGTGGATAGTGATTTATGCGCTAATAGCCTTAGTGACCATGACTAAGTAAAATTATCACAAAGTTTGGTCTATCTATCCGCCTTTGTTTATGGGATTTTTAGCCAGCCTAAATACTGGAACTTTTTGAAATGAACATCGAACCGAGACGGCGACCAACAAAAAAAGTTATATGAAGTTGGCCTAAGCGTGGCAGTTTCCACTGTGCGACAGTGTGGTAAGTTAAGTTCGAAAATAGCAAGAGAAGGTGCAAATTGTTGAAAGACAGTAGATTGGCATTCTCCGCTTTCCCTCTCCCCTTTCGACTGTTCAAAACTTTAATCATTGCAAAGAATCTGTGCCCAATAAAATTTGCGCTAAAGCAGCCATTGTCAGTACAATTTTTCTCGGTACTGCTGAATAAATTGTGGACAAAACAAATGTCTCATAACATATACAGCTAATAGTCAACCCGTTTCCATTAATGCCGGGCTTGCATCGGCTATAAGAAGGAGGAGAGAATGACTACAGTCATCGAGTTATGACTTCAGCGTACGTCAGCATAAAAACTAGTAGTTTTAAAAGCTTCAAGTACTACCAGCAATGGTTGATTATAAATGCTAGATACCACAGTATCCAAGAGATCCTAGTTTCGGTGATGAATGGATTCACGATAATGTGATGTACTGTCAACTACTGCGTATTTCGTGGTAAACTCTTAAGCTCTTACTTTAGATTCATTTTCATTCACTGGCAAGAACCTGAATATAAGTAGTGGGGAAGGAGTCTGCGAAGAGGACAACCAATGGGTTTGGTCATTAGTGCTTCAAACATCTCCAACTCAGCGCTATATACTAAGAGGAACTATGTTTGTGGGACGTCTGCGATTTTAGATATCGCTTGCGCGGAGGATCACTGCACCAGTCGCAGGACCAATGGAGAACCAGAAGCCATAGTATGCATGATAAGGAAAATAAATTAAACTTCAATCATAATGTAATCGAAATTGGGACACGGAAGCTATTTTAATTGCAAATATGGTTGCTAAATAAAATATAAATCGGTTAGACTTGGTGGCACATTTCTTACGATTCAAATCAGGCCATAAGGTTGTACGTAGTAATATTGCATTATTTACCGGTGGCGCTTCATCAATCAGATCGCCGTCGTGCGGACCCATGTGGGTGATTTTGGTGCTGGTGACGATGGAGGGAGCGAGGAGAAAAGCCACGGAAGCCTCGTCAGCCAACTCGTAGTCTGTGTTCGATGGGGAAGGCGAGCGTAGGGGAAGGCTGCGCGGGACTAGTGCCGGTCTCCTCACGGCTGTTTCAGCGCTCCGCTGCTCGGCGTTATTTGTGTGACCGTGGCCATTGGTCGCAAGCGGGAATAGAGGCGGAGGTGTGACCTGCTCGGGCGCATCTGGAGCGGGACTTGGATTGCACCCCGTGTTTGGATCCGTGGTTGATGACGAGGCAAGACTGTATCGCTAAAATTCCCACATTTTACAGCGGTATTAGCTTGACGCGTAGAGGAGAGCATAAGGTGTTATAAGAAAATTTAATGCAAACCCCTATAAATCCTAGTGTTGTCACAAGAACTGTTAATAACCATTCAAATGCATTACTCCTGAAATAAAATCTCACTGTGCTTCGAATCGAGGATTCCAGCCAAACGCTGATTTAGATTAATGTATATACAATGGACAAATTCTTCCTACAATACAACACGTGAACGCCACTTCATCCATCAGTCCCGATTATTCACTTCCCCACCCCGAACTGCATTAATTATACGCGACAGAAAATTTCCCACCTAACTGCAAATTTACAAGATGGAAGCACAATATTTGCATTCTAGTGAAGACGTTAAATTCATTTTAATACACGAAATACTAGCACGAAAACTCTCCTAGCAAAAAACTGCAATGAAATTTGGGCAACGCTGCGTGGTCGAGAAAAACAATAAAATTCACTCGATTTGGTGCTCTAAGTGTTACAAAAGTGTGGAAGCAGATTTCGCCTATTTCGCCAAAGTGGTCACCGTTCAGTGAATCTGAGTGCTATCGGTTACTCGCTTGACTCTAGCATAACCTCAAAAGCAGTGAAAATATGCAACGTTTTGACCAGCTGAGAAAAAAAACGGTTGTAGAACCTTTTAGACGTTAAAGTCACTTCTGTACTGGACAGTCAATGCTACGAGGTGGAAAGGTCGTTCATGTTTCAGTGAGGTTTTCAATTGTTCACGCGTAAACTAAGCGTTTATGCACACTCTGGGACTGGTCTGTGCAAGGTGTTGACGAATACCCCGCTCGTGGCGCCGCACTGCAATGGTTTATCGCAGTGTCTCACAAATAAGTCCTCGCACAACTCGACTCCGTGAAAAATTTACCACCTGTTCATTGGATAGATAAACACTCGGATTTGCAAATGGCCCTTTGTGTTAATTGTGTAAGCTCATATAAAAGATACTTTCAACACGATTACTATTTAAACAACGACACCGAAAATAAGACATACTCTTGTGAATCCTCCATCATCCTGCTCCAGTTGTTTCATTGTGCTCTCCACCTCCTCTAGTTGTCGAAGAAGACAGTTGAGATCATTTTCAGCAGTCGCTTCTAAAATTGCAGATTTTTTGAGGACCCTTACTTATTCACAAATTTGAAAATGAGGTATGCTATCAGCAAATGAATCGTAAACTTGTGGAACCACTAACAAGAAGTGCGCACATGGTCCGAAAGTTTAAAATTTCAAAAATGTGATAAAAAGCAACAAAAAATAATGTTTAAAGTGTCATTTAAGCACTAGTGTTATACGTGGTGCAGAGAAGGTTGTAGCTCATCCCTCTTCTTTGAATCGGAACAAAGGCCTTAAGTGACACCTGCCATTTGTTGGCAGTTGGGATTTATCACGTCATTCCAATCTGTAAATGATCCTTCTTAAAACGCAAAAACAGAGTCACAGCTAATGAAAAGTCTTTTACAGCGTAAAGTAGACCAGTGACAGTTGACATATTATTCATAGAGAGCAGTCCTTTATTTGCGGCGTGGATGTGTGTGCTATTCACACAAGCCTGGAATAGGCATTCTAAAACGCGCTCTTAGAAGACTCACAAAATCAAGTAGAAAGGCGATTACGTACACTCGAGCCAATGGTTGCGCTTAAATGAAGCGGTGCCTTTACCAACGCTTAGTACTTCACGATGATGTGTCCCACTCCTTATTTTCTTTAATAATGATACGGTCTAAATATTGTTGGAGTAAGTTTTTATCATCACAAGTGGTAATTATTCTGCGGTGTTTTTAATAATTTCAATTCATGAAGTTTGAGGGAAAAAAGGTACTTTAGGAACTGTCAACACTGTCGGCTCATGACAATTTTATTGGCTCAGCACACCTGTGGAATGATGGAGATGAAGTACAGGTAGGCCTGGCTACCGGCACAACCGAACCACCATGCATCGACATCTACCTGCAGCAATCAAGAGCGGTCGCGACATTTCAGCCCGGTGGCGTGCGCCATCAACCAATCGCCAAACAGCAGGGAGGCCAGTCCAACTGCTTTGTGATGAGACAGGGGAATCGCAAAGCGCAAGGCCACGAACCCTCGTCCGATGGTGGTGAATAGGACGATCAACAGAGTGGTTGATTGGAGCGCTTAAAAGAGCTAGTTTCTACAGTGCATACCTCGTATGGTGAGAAAATGATCGCCGAATGTTACGTTTCCTAGCAAATTTCGAGTAATAATCCGATTTAAAAATAATTTACTGGACGATTCTGGTGCCATGTATGAATGCTTGATGCCTTTGATTTTATCGAAAACAAAGTCAACATCAAAAGTACAATGGTACCTTAAAGACGTTAACAAGACTCCTGAATTCCTGAGAAGCAAACTCCAACCTTTGCGTAGTCTTCTTAAATGAAATGATCTACTGCTAATCCTGCTCCTCATATACGTGGATATAAACATAAAAATGACGAGTGCTATCAATAGCATCACATGAAACAGAGGTATGATCAAAAAGCGGCCTAATCTTCTTTATGAACAAGAAAAGAATTGGGCCAATACATAAAGAATTTCAAACTGCAACAGATTTCCCCATTTCCATTACCACGAGGGATTATTTATAAAAGAAGCTTCTTTTATGTATGGCAGTGGTAAATGCCACGGCAGAAAAACGGGTTAACTGCAGAAGGCAGTTAGAAGGTAGCACACACGAAAGCGGTCTGTTTGAACGTATTTTCTTGAGTTTGCATTTGCACACCAGCGGCTACAAATTACATCAGGACGCATCAAAACCGTCGCATGCGTGGCGTGTGCTAGTTGCAGTGATGCCGTGTCAAGGCGAAGGGGAATACCCATGTTGAGAACCTCAAATTCCAAGGGGATTGAAGGATCTCTGCGAAAAATAAATACGCTTATCAGGATTGCCATTTACTCCAGAAAACAATTTCACAAAAACTAAACACATTTACTTCAACCCCACCTTCAAACTAATCATATGAGGGGCAGCAAGCCTAAAGAAGGAATCGGGGTACACGACCTTCTTAACCGTCAGTAGATCTGCATTCGATGATTAGGGCTTTAGTAACCCAAGTGGACAAAGTCTAAGTGGCATTCCAAATGAATGAATACTTCAAAGCGAATTGAATCTGCACTGGAAATGGTCTATTGAAACTGTACTCCTTTAGCGATGCTCTGAAACATTTCGTATATCTGCGTTTAACAGTGCAAATGCCATTAACTTCTACTGATTATCCTCATTTTGACCTGTCTTAAAAACCACGTGCAAGAGAATTGCTACCATATCCTTTTTCTAATGAACGACCAACTGTTGCAAACAGTTCAATGCGCAAGAAAGCATCGGCGAATGCTTTTAGAAGTGGAGGATGAGTTACGGACTAATTTGGATGGTTATACAAAACGTTTCCCATAAGTTTGATGGCCTTGTGCATCAACCTTTGCTAGCAACTCACCACGATCCTATGAAGCATGCTGTCTTGGCATTTTAGGCGAATTTTCGGTTAGGCCACTACTAAAACGCTTCTCATCGAAATGTTTACCCTTTTCAGGGATTTTTGAACAAAATAAAGAATAAGCATGGCATACATTCTGCTCCCTCAGCTAGTGGCCACTGTGTGGTGATTGAGAATATGCAACGAAATTTCATATGAGTCCTGAAGGGAATTCAAGAGTACATTTTTGGTACAAACTTCAAAGAATGGAAAAGGGTTAGAGGAACGCAGTGCTCCCAAGGCTGTTTATTAAGGAATGAAACGATATGGTTGCATCTAAAAAGCCTGCTCTACGTCCTATGGAATAACTCTTCGTGCTTTTCGCTCATGACAGTGAGCGGATATAAGCATGTCTGTGCGATCCCCTCCTCAAAACCCATAAAAACATAACCTTCTATCGCCATTTTTCAAGAAAAATGAAATTCTTATTCTTGCAATCCGGAGCTAAAAAGAGCGATGGCGGACGGATGAGCATAATTGCGTGTATGCATTGGCTGTCGAGATGAGATGTAGTATGGCAAGCTCTCACCTCTGCAGCTGAGAGGGTTGAAGGAGGCGCGAATGCTTTGAGTGAGGGTGTTGGCGATGGAGGCGGAGGCATCCTGACCCTCTTCGGCTGGGACTGCCAGGGAAGGAGGGGACGGCGGTGTCGAGAGGTGCGCGTCATGTTGTGGTGGTAGGCCTGACGGGCTGTCCAATATCTGGGCCACCTGCCACGACGACGGCGGATGGGGTGGCGATCGTGCGAGATGGCGCGGATCCGAGTAGGAGAACTCGGAAGAGGAGGAGGGAGGCAGCCGATTCGAAGGCGTAGACGGACACTTGCGTTCAAGACCCTGAGGGACATTTAGCGAAGAGGCAGGGTTTTAATAACATCAAACGGCTGATCAAGAGAATTTGTCTTTGGTGTGTTCTTGTCGCTAGTAAAATAAGAAGCATGCCCAAAACTGCAGTGACAGTTAAGCACATTTTAACAATGTGATGAAATCATTCATATTCCCTATAACCCAAGAATACTTAGCTATCCAGAAAATCTTCACACAAACCTTCGGTAGACTAGATTGCTTTTAAAGCTCTGATTAGCTCCAATAACTGTTCGGAGCCGAAAACGTTTATCCGAAAGGCCTTGAGGAGACCATCCTTACGATAGTAAACAAGTGGAGGAATTAATTTTTTCTTGCACAGATACACCTGGTCTGTTTATGTATCTTGTACGTGATTACAACCAGTGCCGTAGTTTATGTTGCAACGCGAATCAAACAAAAGCGCAGATGCTCGAAGATTCGAGTTTGTGGTCACCGTCTCCTCTGATCCGGCATATTTTGCTGCCATACATGCGGCTTACTTGCTGGGATACGCGGTCACGGGTGCGACTGTATTTCCACAGATCATTAAGTTCACCTTCAGACCCGTGGAAAATTTGCCGTAAAATTAATAGAGCTTAATGAATGCGTATGCGTGTGTGTGCATGTCAGATGTGTTTTTATGCCCTCCTGTCTGGAAAACCAAAGGCAATTTCTACTGACTGCATTAGTTTAAATTCGTCTTTGAGAACGCTTTTAGTACTGATTCAACAAAGTGCCTTTGAGAGCCGATTGCAGTAACCATTGTTTATTTAGCAAAATCACCTAAGTTGGATGTAGCTAACTGGTCATTAAGAACAATACACTGCAGTAAGTGGGCATCTGGTTCGACTGCAGTCCAGTAGCTCCGGACACTTTGCCGGTTAGGCACAATAACGACCAAGAGGCATTCTTGTTTATTGCTACATTCCTTTGCTGTAGTCTGTGCAAGGATAGTCTGCATGTTGTTTTTCTACCTCGAAATGCAGCCTGACGAGCTCACGAGTACTTTTGCGAATACTAGTAATAAGGCTTGCATTGTCTAAACGTCTGCATTGTGCAAAATTCTAACACACAGATTGACTGAAAGCAAAATAGTGATTTTTCATTACATTGCTTTAATGAGGACAGGTTTTGAAGGTGATCTAAGAAATTGGTTCCACCATGCCCATCTACATCATAAACTAGGTGATTTGAAGTCCCCAACATAATGCCTGAGAACGAATGGTAGGCCCCTAAATAGGGACTATTTGCTGACCCAGAACAACCAAACGCATCCGATTACGTCGGTTGCGCGATGGAAGCATGAAAAGTGAGCAAAAATAAGCTAAAATGTAGTTAGAAAAAAATCAGTAAAGGTGTGCGGTTTTTGATTACCGACTAATCTATTACTGATCCATTGGACTAGCAAACGGTGAAGAGGTAGGGAAGATTCCGTCCTAGTCGCACACAGTCAGGAGTCTTGGCAGTAAGAGGCAATGTAAACGGAAGACGACTTTTAAAGACGGTGTGGTTTTACTGCCGCAAGGGCTACACTTATCGCTTTGATCTTCCCTGCCTTGCGCGCGCAAGCGTCCAGACGGCCACCAACCATCGTCTGAAGTAAAAGCCCTTGTGATTTTGAGGGTCTCCACGCTGGACTGGCGGCGGCCACCGTGGCATCCTTTCTTGCCTTTTAATGTCGTGAGATTACTAATCGCACACGCGAATAAAAGGCATTTGTACTAAATTTTTTTCATTCCATCTCCAATCTTTATCATAAGACGTCGATCACATGTTTACACAACTATCTTCTCTAGAATACAAGTAATTGATGATAGGTGTGGCAAGTCAATGGGAAATTGAATCGCGCCTTTATGGCATAGACAACGGCGATTTTGGCGTACCTTCACAAAAACACATTGGTGTATTGTGTTGGGCCTGAGAGGATAATACTACGCTGGTACAGGCGTTATGACATCACTATGTGCTCTACAAGAAATCCTTTGCAGGGACAGTTATCAGTGAATTTCCTAGTTTGTTAATCACCCATTAGGAGGCGCTGTTTACAGCCGGAGAGTACAACTTCGTTATCACGAGCTTCAAGCCCAGATGATTTGATTTGGCAACATTTGGAGTGTTAGGCGAATTTTGACGCTCGACATTTCAAATGTGGAAATTTAGGGTCTTTTCCCCTTGCCACCGTCTCAAAGGATGCTTATGTTTGTTCCCCTGACGTCCACTTGCTTACGCTCTCTCCGATGGCTTGTAAATTTCATCCTATATCTCCATAGCCACCGAAAACGCCATGGGAATAACTGGCTCAGGAGTCTTCAGGCGGTATTGTAGTCGCCTTGACTCTGATGTCATTTATCCGCCGAGATGGAGTGTGAGACTCGAGGTTGAGAAAGCGGCGGGAATGGAGACCAATTGCAACAGCCGACATTGGCTATGCAGTTGTGCGTGCCTCACTGTTCTACTCTTAACTCACGACTAAGATAATTGTCTTGCAATGGAAAGAGAGGGAAGTGTCCATGATGGGGTAAAACTACTAAAATTTGTTGGGATTTACTCAAAAAAGTGCAAAACCCTCCAAATTACTCTTTTGCCTTCAACTCTGCTTCACTTTGTAGCGAACCAGCACCACCCATTAGGTCTTTATTTTAACCCAGCCTAGCAGCATTTAAGGAGGAAAATCCATTTCTCTGGAGGCCTAAAGGTTCAACTCCGCTAAAAGTGGAGCGACCGATTCAGGATAGCCCCGCCACTTTATGGAAAGATCTTAATCTTTCGGTCAAATTTGGGGCTTTCACAAAAACTACAGGTTGATATGACGTTCATGCGATATTTAATCATTATAAATGACGCTAATGTCTCACACATAGATTACAAAGCAAGATAATGGGTTTAAATTTATTTACCCAGGAAAGTAGTGGTCAAGTTGTTTAAACTGGAATGGACTATTCCAGCTCCAATCATTAACATTTGATGGTACGATACTGCACCGAAATTTTTAAACAAAATAACCCCAAGAATAATAAGCTTAGCCGAGAATGAGAGAGATGTATTCTCCGGAAAAAAGGCTGTTCAGGAGATCTTGCATTAGATAGAAAGGACACAATTTGGCTTTGAGAATTCTGGTAAAAATATTCACGCTCAAACTGGTTGCAAAAGGAGGCTCGTTTGTGCAGATAAATAGCTAAGAGTTATGCGCTTGGTGGTATCCCAGCCAACATTGCCAAAAGCGCATGTATATCGTGTTAGTTTATTTATCTATGGTAATTTTAGTCATATGCATTGACAGTCGAACTGGTCCTTTGATTGGGAGTACCCCTTCCATCAGAAGACCTTAACGAGGTCTGCTAATTAACTGCCCGCGATGAAATGAGCTATTCGAGATGCGTCTACTACAACCAATCTCCTCTGCAAAGTCTTCTTAAAATTAAATAACAAAAAGTCAAACAATTTATACATCTTCAACCTAATCGATTAACTAATTTTTCCAGTCCCTGCCTTAAATCAAGTTAAACTCAAGCTCTCCCATCAGTTATCGCTCGAAGTGAGAAATACACTCGCATTTGCAGCTGTACTGCGATTCTTACTGCTACTAATGGTGCAGAAAATGGCGTAAGAGGCGAACCCAGAAGTCAACAAAGCCCACAGGTATAGTTCAGTCCGATGAAAGATTCACTATACTTTGTCACATCGTATGAGGAAAATTGGACGTTTTTAAGCAGTAAGTCTAAAAACAGGGCTCTTAGCAGAACCGGAACGAACAATGTATGCACAGTGTGGAACCTGTACGAACAGGCTGTACATTAATCCCAGATCTTCCTCACGAACACCATGTTTGCTGACTGCCAGGTATGTAAAAATTGCAAATTGCAAAAATGAATTATTTGAAGACCGAACACGTTTGCCTCCCGTACAAAACTTCGAGTGCCTATAGTGACACTGCTAAAGCAAAGTTTTTATGTTCCCTAGAAAAGATGGGGGAGAATGGGTGTTGTGTTTGCAATAACGCTGCTTCAGCTGACTGAAATTTGAAAAAGGTCGAATTTAAGTCGCCCTACACGTCTTTACTTGTCAGTGGCGTGTGTTGTGATGCCAGCCGATGGCCCACGAGTAACGAAGACCGTCACTCACATAGGCAGACCAACTTTATAATGCAAAATCGTTCATCTCGGCAGCATGTGTGCACGACTGTTTACAATTCAGGGACTGCACAGAGTTTAGTGAATTCAGCAGTCAGAAAGCACTAATGGCCGTGACTGATTTAATCCTCATGTACCACCAACCAGCAAAGCGTGTTTTCAGTACGTTGGAGGCGATTCCTCGTCTAACTCACCTCTGATCTATTGATGATTTGTAAGGAAGATTAAATAAGCAGGCAAAATTAATGAAATGAACAGCTTATTAACTAGAAATGCCATTGTTTAAAAAGACTTGGTATAAGACTTAGACTTGGTGTAACCGCGCGAAATCATTCGAGGTGGAAAATATGTTACCTTCCTTGGTGCCAGTTCGTCTTATCACTTAAAAACCAGAATATAGGAAGAAAATAAAAAAACGAATGTTTTAGTAATTCATATGGGCAGCATCATCTCTTGAGGTTGTACAGCTTTGCGATATAATGTATCCTATTTGATCCCTTTACGCGTTAAATATTGTCATGCGATCGAGGTAACAGAAAAGTGGACTTCAGTGACGTAGTACCACCCGCTTAGTAGTGCCATAGGTCATATTCGCATTTGTTTTCAAATCGCTGAATGATCAGTAAATATGACAGTGAGGCATCATACTATCCATCCATGAACTCGATGCATGGACTGCGAATACCTTCCATAAACACCGATTCTGGACGCACATTCAGCCACCCCGCTAAGTAGCCGAATCGAAGCAAACCACACAACACAAAATTGGTTATAAAAGGGCCCCGAGTAACAGAGCACACCGTAAGCGTCACTTCTGGTGAACATACACCCTTGCACCAAAAAGACGGGTTCGCCCTAACTGGTGACATTACGGGAGGCCAACGGCCAGCGAAACTCGATATCCTTAGTAAGCGCTGGGTGGAACGTGACACAGCCGCCGGTAACAGATGCAACACAACACCTTCACACTGTCTCTCATTCCCGCAACTCGTACCAGATTAAGTGAGGACAGTGAGAACGAAAACCTCGGAAGTTTACAGTCAAAAGACTTCAAGGTCAAGTTGTGGCAATTTTAGCCGCTGTGAATCGTACTGCGAAGGATGTCAAAATATTGCTTCAGAAACCAATAAAGAAAAAAAAATTGAGTAATTTTAGCTCGTGGCAATATTTGTGAAGCCGCATAGTCATATTGAAATATACAGGCATAACCTGGAATCTGCTTATATGCACCTGCGTTTAGAATGAAATACAAAAAAAAAACAAGTTCCAAAGCTAACAATGACACCGGATGGATAGCTGCTTCAAAATTAGGCAATTGGACAGCTAGAAAAGAGATCGGCATGCGGATCGGACGTCGACTCTCGGACTCGCAAATTCAATTACTCTTCACATTTCCGCGTGTTTGCTTTATTGACCTTTAGAAGTGACACGCCATGTTGACACCGCTGTGCGCCGAGTTGCTGGCGCGGTGAGTGGCGTTCCGCTCGGAGACGAAGCAGTCTGCCTGTTCCAGCGCTAGAGCCGGAGAGCACGTCAACTGTTCATCAAGTCGGAACGAGTGTGAGGGCATGTTCCGTGTCAATCAGTGGGAACTACGATCTGCTCGAGATTATAGGCAGTGTTTAAAAAAAGCCATAAAATTTGGAGCGCATTGTTGATAGGGTGATTCGCGATCCACCGAAAGCGCGGACTTGTAAGTCATCCTGCTAAAACTCCATTAACTTTTGATGTTTTGATGAACGTAGGTTTTCTTTGACAAAAAATAAAACACTCTGTGGAACGAGCATAGTGATTCACGTAGTATTTCAATACCGCCTCGGTGAAGCACTGGATGATCCAGATAACCTAGCCCTGGTTGCATCAAATTTAAAAAAAACACTAGTTGAAATAAATTGTTTTAACAGTTTTTAGCACCTAGTAGAAGTGTGCCAATGCATGCAAGAGAGGACAAGACTTTATGGCGGATGGTGGATGAGGTTAACGCAGAAAATTACAATTTGTTTGCGAACACAGTGAAGAGAAGGATTTCGGCCCGTGCTGGAGTGAGGACAGGAGTAGAGAAGGGCAGAAGGAACTTACTAGTTGGAGTTCCTCGAGGGTCCCGACCCAGTCGTCCAGTTCTGTCAGCTCCGAATCCATTATTAAAGATAAATAGCACTCCGTGGGGCGGTGCTGTAGGTCTGACGGGATGGCCTAGCTGGTGGTGATCGTGGACACGAAGCCCGTGTGTGGGTATGGTTTTGAGATGCGGTGTGAGGGCTACAGCGGCAACAACAGTGGCAGCACGCCGTGACGGCCTACCCGGACACGCACATCCGCCGTGCATGCATCAGTGTGTTAGCGCTAGTGCTGGTATTTTCCTGTGGGCTCGTCCGTACGCCGAACTGCAGCACACGCAGGCGCGCACGTGTGGTGTGCGCAGACGGATGTGACCAAACAGGATCAACCATAGTCGGGCGCCAATAGGCGCGCGACATGTCAGGCCTATCATCCTGTGCGTACTCTCAGGCATGAGGGTGTGCATACGTGTCAACACGATACAGTCAATTGGTGGATGATTTCCTTTTCTTCCACCAACTTGCCTTTACTTGCGGATGCAAGTGGTAGAGTCGATGTGATACCTTTGACCCTTTCTCAAATGCACAAACCAAATTTAAAGCCTGAAAACACATCTTCCCAATCAAGTGGTTGCTATGATTAATGACCAATTCAAAGCCCTACCGATGTCGTGGACCACCCAGTAGAAACTTCCCATCTCCATTAAATGTTAACCTGTGACTCCTCAGCCTTGAATGCCGGTCAAATCCCAGCAAATAACCTGTCAGGACTTTATGGCTTTTGCATATATCCTGCGCTGTACGGGGCGTCGCAGTCCAATTTTATGGCTTTTACTCGTGGAACCAATGTATTGCACGTTTTGCTTATGTTGTGGCGAGGAAGCAGCATATCATTCCCTTCCTTTTTGAAAAAGTAATTACTGAAATGGTAAAGGAGCTCAATCAGACCACCCTATAACGGGGTGCGACATAAAAGACCAGTTAAGGCGGAGTGATATATGGAATGTGGTAGCAAACGGTAGTCCACATTGGCTATTGTACTTTTGAATCGTGGAATCTACCGCTTCCCAGCGTATTTACTGAAGCACGTGGTGATTAGTCTTACCTTGAAGTCCCGCTGACATTGTATGATAAAACGATCCATAGGGTTGCAACGGACAATGGTGTTCCACTCCAAGTTTACGCCATAACTATGAACATTAAAGTCGCCCAAAATGTGAACATCTCTACAACAGTAGTACGCTGTACCCACTACTTTCACATAGCTTTTCTCAACTCTAAATACGTAGCTAAATTGAAGTGTTCGGTCGAATTTAGAGCCATTGCTCCATTTTGCTTGGTGTTCTTGTCCAGCAATTAACTGATCTCCCACACATAGAGTAGTTTGCAATAATCTGCTCACAAGAAATCCCAAATAACTGGCATTTTGTCCCCATCACCAAGCAAAAGACAGGTTGCACCATAAGTGATTTGGGTTGTAGGTTTAGCGAATGCTTGCAAAATGAACCTCTTGCAACCAACGCCATCACGAGATCTGATTCCCTTCGAAACAGTTTAAATGGTAGCACTTGTTGGGAAACAAGTGACTTTGCTTCGTGGACTTAGTCATGATGAAAAGTTGCTGTAAATTGTGTGCCAAGCGAGACCTCGGGATGATTGCTACAAATGCGCCAAAAAGCTTGCGGACCCATGCCTCGACCCAAGTAAACATTTATAATCCTATGCAAAATGCCGAAACATTAAGCGAATGCATAAATCACTTTGGGCTGCACAACCACTACGATAATAATGCATTTATAAGGCATTACTCAGAAGTTTTTAGTCTTGAAACCTCACGGTGCGGATTGCGTGGGATTCTCCATAAGCCTGAACGACGAATGTCATAGCGTGTGAAACATTGGTCGTTGTAGACTCTGTTTGTAATGAAAGTGCTAACAACCGATTTACAATGCCAACTTATTCACTTATCATGGTCACGTCATTTTTACACTCGTCGTGAGATCTTATCCCGCCTCGCATTGTAGCAAATATGGACTGATGACTATCCAGAAGTACCGAAAATAAGTACACTGGAGAGTCCCTAGTTTATGCCACTTTATTAGATTGTGACTTATAGGCCCATTTTCCCATGTCTTACTTATTGAAAAAGGCAACACAAATTAGTCAGTGCACCAGTGGCTTTTGGCACTTAACTCCTCATAGTCCTTGCCAGTATTAAGTTGTGACATCGCGACAAAAAATGAATCAAGCATCTATCTTTATGAAGTTAACCACCCCGTCTGATTGATGGGCTGGTTATTGCTAATTACGTTATTAGCGGAGCTCGTCGTCACCCCGCTGTCCCATTTCTGCAAAGCAGGGAGGGAGGAAGAGGATCTTAACCTTGCCATATTCTATAACTATTTGGTACTAAACTCCTTAGTGATCGTGGTAAATTCTACTCCTTTGGGACATAAAATTCATCTATGATTGATGATGAGAAAAGAAATATACTTGAATAAAAAATAATTTTTTTAGTTGAAGTGCTATTCAAACACTTGAACTGCTCTAGCATTCATGCTCTTGGAAGTGTCGGTAGTCATTTGGATATCAGAGGCACCGAAAATAGGAAGGTAATGGCCACTTAACCCACGAGTCAAATGGGTAGAGACATCGATGATAGGGAATGTGCGTGCAGTTAGGCATCTCATGAAGCAACAATCGCTCCTGTTGACGTACTATATTCATCTAGCTAAATATCGGTTGCAGAATGTGTAAGCATCATTTGAAGGGGAGAAGTCTGGGCACGAAAATACTAACTTAATATTGTAACCAGGCGATCAACGGGAGGAAGCGACGCAGTAGGCTTGAAATAATAGGCGACAGTAATTTCAACGGGCAGCATAGCGAAGAGTCATTAAGAGCCATTAGCAAAAAGGACGCGAATAAGCTTGTGAATGCATTGCAATTGCAAGTTAACAACGGAAATCCTGGTTTCCTATTGGAGAATAATAGCCCCACCTAACTGCAGTTTGTACGGGTGCGTATTGTTATGCTGCAAGCGATGTCGTTCAACTCTTTGTTTACAGTCAAAGAGAGATATTTCCAACCAATACGCAAGACTTTCAAGTAGTTCGGACGCTAAAATTTTGTGAATTGCCAGGGGTCTCGACTCATGGCTTTGGCTGGTTTTGATGACATTTAGTCTTCTAGGATTTACACATAGAAGAATAAGGTCGTCATACTTTACAACCAAATCAAATCAGCCATTGTAACGCAATCTGCCTCATTGGGGCTTTACTCCACTTTCGTTTGACTCAAGTCACACCCTTACTCTCCACTTTAACCAGTCAGCCTTTTTAATCTGCCAACTAGCAGCAGTCCCTTCGAATGCAACGTCTTCCGTGATAATTCATGCGCGGCGTCTGGGTATAAAATGCCACGCAAAATGCTCATACAGCAAAATTCACAAACAGAAAAATCATTTGAAACTGGATTTATTGTCGCTGCATGTCAATGGCAAAGCGAGTAGGGCGCTCCTCCAGTAGTTCATTTAAACTGCAAGCGAGTATGACAATCCTGCTGCTCTTCTACCCATCCAAATAATGTGGTAATTTGAGGCCATCGAAGTGAATTTCAGCTGCACCACAACGTGAATAAACAGTAGGCACTGCAGAACTATGCACAATATAAAGGCCAGTGAGATTCCTTTTGAAGGAAAGAAATGCAGCAAAACCAACGAATTAGTCTCAATACCATCAGGTTTAGTTACTACACTTTATCCCTCAGATATCCAAAAAGGTGACCGGTTTCTTGAAAGGGGCTCAACGCGTCTAGATGACAAAAGAACAATGTCCGTTTACTTGCTTTCATTAGAGTGATCACGCTCGCCATAAATGAACCTACATGAATGCCAGAAACCGCACCAATGTAATCGAATGGAATGGGGAAGCGCACACCACTTTAAGGGTCGTTCAGCAAGACAATGATGGCAGTAAGTAC